CTCAGCCATATCATCAGAAACAGCTCTAAAGTACAGGAAGAGTTTTTCTTGATATATTAATTCTTCAGCTGACAATTTTATGGCTGAATCCTATAACTAGAAGTTCAACCCTAGGTCTCGCCCCAAATTGAGTGAAACATCTCCTCTGCCAAAGTCAGAAGAACACAGCTCAAGTTTCATAACTACAACAAAAATAAATCTGATAAAAAGTGTGTGTTCTATACTATAGTTTATACATATTCCAACTTAAGAAGAGGCCTGATTAGGTCTAAAGCTCTTAATTTTAAAACTCAAGTGGTTATAATAACTTTGATCTTTATAGTGTCGTGGTCTCTGGACCATAACAACCTTTTAAAGACTGTACATGAGATAAAAAAATAATTTTATTGCTTTTTTGTAGATGCTGTAATGAAATTGTGGCCCATCTTTCTTAAAATGCTATATTACAAGAGTTAAAGTTAAGAGTTTTTATTCTGATTAACTCCTCATCTATCTGCAAAATTGGAACTAAATGGAAAAATCATGTTTTGAGATTTATCTACTTGTTTACCCCCACTTCTGGAATTGCTAGCCGACACTGAGTATAAGACGGTTACAAATCTTCCAACCTTGAGTTTTGTTCATGTTGCAGACATAAAGCTGATACAGTGTCAGGAAATAAACTAGAGACCAGCAGTTCAATGGTTAAAACTAGCTAGTGTATAGAGTTATGGCTACAGCAGATTGTACATGTTGTACAGGTCGAGGTACATAGGGAGGAGGAGCCCTGATTTATGGGCCCAGCCAGAATTGTGTTGTCTGGTGCATGTTGTGGCTGCTGTATAATTTAGCTTTTCTGTTGTCTCCCTCCTCCTCCCCTTCTCCTTCCCTATTGAGTGTCCCTCTACAGTCTGTCCTTCTCCCTGTCCCTTGCTCCCCCCCCCCCATTCGCTGTCCCCTTCTTTGCCCATCCCCCTACCCTTACACCCCACTTCCTTGTCCCTCTTTCCTTATCTCTTTGTCCTGCTTTCTCTCTGCTCTTGTTCCCCTCCGTCTTCTGCTCCAATCACACCTCCTTCTTATCACTTTGTCCATTTACATCCCCATCCAATAGTGTCTCCTAAACTACCCCCTCCCCATCCAATAGTGTCTCCTAAACTACCCCCTCCCCATCCAATAGTGTCTCCTAAACTACCCC